TCTCGGATTCTCCAGCATCTGCAGTTCCTACTATCTCTGGTTTTTAATGATGTTGGTTGAGAAATAAATATTAATCGAGGAAAAAAAAACAGCAACAATCAGAAACAGAGATCTGGATGATTTCTCTCCTTAGTCCAGTGATGCTTTAACCAACTTCCAGTGTCTGCTAATTCTCTGCCTGAGTTCATCTAACTCAGCCCATAGCAGATATAGAGCCTGGGACTTTGTTGTTTAGTCGCATGCTGATTGATGCATTTACAGCTAAACCATCAAGGCCAATGTCAATTTTCTTGTATCATTTATTAGTTTGAGGGAGACTAATTAGCTTGATTGGCTTGATAGCTAGTGCAGGTTCCATTCCCATTCTGTCTTATGTAGGCCTGGGAGCTGGGAACGTCCTTCTCACCTGCCCCATGCTTGATACAAAGTGATTCCCCTCAAACTATTAGAGAAACAATCAATTCTACAAAGAGATGTCGATCTAGTCCCTGATACTCTATAGCTAATTAGCACACTACCTATTAGTTTGAAGTGATATTAACATGAAAGCTATCAGTACCGCATTACCCATAGTATTTCAGGATTCTGCTTGACCTCCACCATGTTCCTGATTTTAACTGTGCCTTTTGTTGGAAGACAACAGAGGTTAAGAAAACCATTGAACAACAGAACTTCGTAAACCACGTTTTTTTGCATTTCCCCTGACTCTGAAAGGTAGCTGGAGAAACAGCTGTCTAGCTATAAGATACAGGTTACATTATGAGTTCTTGGCTGATTGCCAAGACTCACTGATAGATTATCCCAGCAGGGATTTATTTTCACGAGCTGAAAGAACGTTTTTCTTCGATATCTTTGAGGTTCCCATGAGGTATTTTTCCTTTGATCCATTTTTTTCCTGATGTCTGACAAAATTAAGAAATGAGAAGTGAGGCAAAGCTTCTGTGGTTGAATCTTTGAATATCTGATTGTTACTGTTATGACTTTATAAAAGTTGCAATGTTTTTTCTTTCCAAAATTTTTTTTATTGTGTGTCTTTTTAAGTGAATTTCATGAAATACCTTTGTTGAAATATTGCTCATTAGTTCTATATTGCATATTAGGTGAATTGGTATAGACGTTGGAAGGGAGCCATGGAACAGGCAGAGAATAATGGGAAGGGTGAGGGTTAAAACACCTAACTCAAAGTCTAGAAGTGCTAGAGAACTGGGAAAAGTCTTTCCTCAACAGTATTTCAGCACCGTCTGCCTCTGCTTCTGTAGTCAATCGGTCTGATTTCATCCTGCCTCTAAAAAGCAAAAATGCTCAAAGCAGGGCCATTTGCGTGGAGTGGATCTACTGAGTCAGGAACTTTTAAAATTTGAGCTTTAAAGCCTGTCAGTTGAAATGGAGCAGGGATGGCTAGTGGACTGGGGACTGGTGCAGGCAGTCAGTAGTTTGAGAGCCCGGTCAGACCATGCGTGGAAGCCCCCTGCACTGATTAACTGTAGGCCCTTTATGGAAAGACTGCAATGCTTCTCTTTTTAACTTTATTTCTCATTCTTCTAACTTATACTCTGAATAACTGTAAGAAATGTAACTTTTTCACTTTTACTTCTCCATTTTGTATGTAAGATTTGTATCAAGGTACTTTGCACCTAAAATGGTGCCATGTGGGGCGAGATTGTAAACTTTTCACTGTACTCCTGTACATCTGGACTTGAGAACATGTGATAATAAAGGCTATGCTATGCT